TCTCTCTCTCTCTCTCTCTCTCTCTCTCTCTCTCTCTCTCTCTCTGTCTCTCTCTCTGTTCTTCTCATTCTCATAGGATATACTTCAAGTATCTTACGCCTTACATTCTACTTACGTCTACTGGACGCAGCAATAATTGGCTCCAGAGATAGTCGGACAGCTTTCTCGAAAATCTTTGTTCCGTCAGTCTAGATTACGATCCAGGATCTTTCATCCACAATGGGGAAGAAATTCGACAGATAGAAATGTTTTTCGATTTATGAGACAGGTATTTATTTCACAAAGCTATATAAATTCTCAAAAAGAAATAATTGTATATTGTATATTCCAGTTATACTTTATCTTATTTTATTTGATATTTCATTGACAATAAAAGTAAAAAGAATAAATTAATAAATATAAAAGAAAAGATAGGAAAGGCTAGAAAAAAACTTTTGTTTAAATTCCTAAATAGATCCAATAGACTTTTAAATATAAGTAATATTAGATAAATATGCATATATATTTTATAATCATATATTAATTATTAAACTGATACCAAATTAATAAGATTTATCAGTTAGTATTACAAACAACAGTTTTTCAAAAAAATTTGTGCTTGTAATATATCTTTTAACATAAATTTAAACAAAAAAGAATCGAATTATTCTCGGGATATTTTTTTATCGAATAACTCTATTGAGCACAGGCTGTATAAATAAGTAATGAATAAATAATTAAGTAATAATATATTCAGGCGATGATCCAGTCTTATGTTTCGTTCTCGTCGTCTCTTTCTGTTTCAGTTGATTCTGTTGCTGCTTCCGTCGGCCATTTTCCCGCTGTCGCGGCCGGATCTATGGGGCTAGTGGTCGGTGGATCTGTAATCACAATAGGACCAAGAGGTTCCGCAGTTTGTTCTTCTTCTTTGATAGGTTCTTCCTCGTGGTTATCTTCGTTTGAGCTTTCTTCAATACTAGGCTTGTCCGCAAGGCCTTGAACTTCTTGTGATAATCCCATATTAGTGTCAGGCATCGGTGGTATCAGATCCATCGATGGAATCATAGTTTTAATCTGGCATTGTCGGCCCATGTAGCCCATGGGACAGATGCATCTGTAAGAAAATAAAAAAATATATATAAGTTTGAGAAAATATATAAATACTATTCAGAAACTGCGTTATATATTACAAGTACCCAAAACTTGCTTTTCGTTCAATCTTAAACAAACCTTTTTTAAAAAAAATTTATATATAAAATAAATATATAAATAAAATTTATATATTTAAAAAAAACAAAATATTATACTCAAATCTTTTTTAAGGAAAAATACATATTATATTTTAATTTATAATTTGATGTAAAAATAAAAAAGTATATGTTTATAATTGTACTAAATACAATTATTATGAAATTAATTTTACATTTGCTAAAGAGTAGCAGCATCACACATAAAAGATAAGTCTATAGATTCTTATTATAATTTATTTGACTATAGGACTTATATTTGATTGACAGGATGGAATCTTGCTCAGTCTCACCTGTAATTGCCGTCATCGCTGGTCATGCTGATGCAAGTGGCGTTATTTTGACAAATACCAGGGCGTTCGTCACAGTAGGTAAGCTTTTCGTTACACAAATCGCCAGCCCAGCCAGGCTCGCATCGACATTCCCATGGTCGTTTGCATGATCCATGAACGCATCCGGGATACGGTACGCATTCAGTGCAGTTGGGTCCCGTCCAACCAACGCGGCATCTGCACGTGCCCGGTCGTCTGCAGCTGCCATGTTCCCGACTGCATCCTTGTGCGCATATCGCTAATAAATGCAGCTTTTATCATTATATTATCATATCATATATATATTATCATATCATTATACTGTATATTAATCTATAATATCATATAATATATTGTAGTGTTGTTTGAATTAAAAATTAATTGAAAAATGTGTTTGATCTTTCTTAAAAAAAAAAATAAATAAAAATAATTTCTTTTGTATGGCATCAATTAGGATTTAACTTTTAAACACTGTGAGAAAATAATATTTTAAACTAAAGATTAAACGAATTGCCGGTACATAACTTTACAATAATAAAAAAACTATTAAATTAATTGTAATTATTACATTATTATTTTAAGTCTTAACTTAACTAGTTTTCAAATGTATTCTTTAAATTAAAAAATTTTTTAAAAATGATTCTTAATTTTAGTATTTATTTGATTTTTTTAAAACGTTATCTTTTCTTAATTTAAAGTTACAAAAATACAAGGATAATGCTACATGCGTTTATCTTCCATCTATTTTCCACCAAGATATTTTTCAAAATGGAGAATCATGTTTCTAGCGATCTCAAAAAAGATCAGCAAACATACGTGACTTGAGATAGTATTTTCTTTCTTAAACAAATCTTGTGCATCTCAATGTATATATTTTTTATACGTTGTTAAAGTCGGTCAACGAAAGCTCTCTTGTATATGTAGAATAAAAGACTTCGTCTCTCTTGCTCTCTCTTTCTATCCTGAATAGAAAAAAGATTCTTGTGGTAGTCGCGTTCCCGTTTATTCTGGGAAGGATCCCTCTTCTATTTGCTGTTCTCGAGAATAAACTTACGTGTTTGACAAAGCAGTCCGGTCCAGCCGGGATCGCATCGACACTCGAGGGGTCCTTGACAGGTCCCATGGGCACAACCCGGCAGAACCGCGCACTGTTTGCACTTAGGACCTTGCCAACCTAGACGACATCTGAAAGAGAGAATCTGTCAAGTTCTCCGATTTCCTTCTTCCCGCCACATCTGTGCTAATAAACCCCAATACTATGTTACATTTATCATAAGTAAAACATTTTTCAGTTATTTCTAAAATAACACATATAATACCTTCAAATTTATTTAATATATTATATTATTTTTCTTTTATATTTTAACATTTTAACATTTATAAATTATCATACTTCATTTTATTATTCTATAATGATACATATATTTGTGAATATTTAAGAATAACGTACATTTTTTGCAAAAAATAAATGATGAATGTCGTAAGAAAAAGTAAGTAAGGCTACGTTTACGTCTGATAAATTCACGGGGTCTCAATATTGATGATAGCTATAATTGAACAAAAAAATCAACAAAAAAATGTAGAATTACACCTATAGAGTATGCAGGTATATATGCGTAAAGAGATGCAAGATTAATCACCTGCATTCTCCGGGTCTCTCGCAGTAGCCCTGGCTGGAGAGGCAGTCAGGCGCGCAAATGGGCTCGGAGCAGAACATACCTTTCCAACCTGGATCGCAGGAGCACTCGAAGCTCACGTTACACCTGAAAGCGAAAATCACAACCAAGTCAAGTTCCTGTCTGTCTATCGAGTCGATCGATAATCTCGAGAGACTGCTTCAGGCGAGGAAGCGTTTCGTGTTACACGGAAATTAGGCTCGTTCGATTACCCAAGGTGAAAGCAAAGCTAAGCTGATACGGGCTGTTGTTATTCAAACAGTGTTCAATTTATAGCGTACGTGTGCGGGAGGATAAATCGCATCGCATTATGACTGCGTGGGTGTTACAGTATTATCTGGTATTATTGTTATGGAGTTATCGAACATAACGGGAGGGATCAATGAATGATTAGTTAATTAGAGAATTAGAGAGTTTCATTTTCTCTTCAACGTATATATAAATAATGTTCGAGTTTCGCGCTCAATTCATGTACATATGAAGAAACATATATCCGTGTGTAAAGTGTGAAAGTATATTTTTTTTAATATAAATAGCAAAATTAAATTTTATCTGATTTTTGAAGAAAATATTCTAAGAAATTAAATAATTGAGAAGCAAAATTAAAAAAAAATTAATTATCAATAAGAATGATTTATTATTACAAAATATAAATAATCGTAAAGTAACTACATTATTTAATTAAAGTATATACGAAATTAAAGTTAACTACTATAAATATAATTCTTGCAAAATCTTATGTTATTTGTTACTATGTATGTTTTGATAAAAAATTTGTATACGCATTAAAGTACCCTTTCTTCGTTGTATATCAAATTAAATGATCATACCTTCCATGTTGACATCCCGGTAACGCTACACATTTATCACACAGTTCACCATAGAAACCTAGCTTACAACGGCATTCTCCCGGTCGCCGACAATATCCTTGAAGAGGGTCGCAACCTTTGCGGCAAATTGGTACATCACAAAGATCTCCGGTCCAGCCTAAATAATATCTTGTTATAATGTTGCATTGGAAAAAATAATATAATTATTTCTTAATTTTCTTTATCTTAATTATTTTTGTATCTTTACATAACTTTTTTACATAAAAAAATGTTTCAGTACCTATTATCTTATTATAAATTGATTTAATTGTTTTAATTGTTTTAATTAAATTCAAACCAATATAATTAATTGCTGTTAATTAATTTTATACCTGGCAAACATTTCACTTCGCCGGCTTCATCGCAAATATAATGCGAATTCGGGTGTTGGGATGCCGGTATTTCGCATGCTTGCTTCTTCCATTTTGGGACATATCTAAATAATTAAATAAAATGCTGATTGATAAACTGGAACGCACAAATACGGATAATGAGGATTTATATTCTCGCCAGTTCAAGGAAACAGTGACACAAATAGCTATTGATCCGTTGTCAATATTTCGCAAAAATTGCGAAATATTATTGTGAATGTTTCTTCGCAGATTCTTCGTAAATTTTTTAATAAGACACAGACGATTTATTGATAGTTTCTTGAAATATGTTGATACATTCTTGATACGTCTTGAAATATAGGTCTTTTCTCATGCGAAGAAAAAAAAGTTTAATCATTCTATTGTGCCAAGGAAAACAACATTCAAGGATGGTTTAAGAATGTATAAAATGATTAATGAACAGAAACGATTATCGCCCACTTACGTGATAATGCAATTTAAATATCATTTATAATGCATTGATGCATTCTCGAAGATAAGAAACTATCGATTATAGAACAACATTGACATAACTTGATTAGAGTTCATTAAAACTCAGTATGCTAATCTGAGATTAAATCGTGATTATCTTCATTGATTATTACTTTATCTTTTTAATCGGTTATATTGTGTCAGTCAGATCGCGATATGTGAATAAGATTGAAATTGATTAAATAAAATTAATTATAAAATTGTAAAGAAAATAATGAAAACATTGTTTTGTTAAAAGGTGATCTGAATAATTTTCAATATCAAAAATATCCTTAATAACATAATTATAATTTAGATTATAAAATTTTAAGTTGTTTATACAATAATTATAATTCTGCAACAAATAAAATAATTCTACAATAGCGGTAATTACAAAATTTAGCAAAACTTTTAAAAGTTATTTTTATAAAAAAAAAAATACAATCCTGCATATTTAGAAATAAAATGTTACTTATTTTATTATAATTATGGATAAAAATTTACATTATTAATACATTATTAATACATATATTATAATTACAGTAATTAATACATATATTATAATTACAGTTATATAATTATAAAATTAAAAATAAATCTAACATGTACGTAAAATTATTTGAGATTACTCATCGTCCTTGAATGAGCTAATGGTGATCTAAGAAGATCTACGATCGTGATCTACGATACCTCGGTCCGGCGGCGAGTCCAATAGGCAGCACAGAGGCTCCTAACACCGCAGCAACTCTGATTAATCCATTGTTCGCGTCCAATTGTGCGAGTTGATGAGAAAAGTTGATCAGAAAGGTGACGAACAGCAGTGGTGTCATCATCTTGGCTTGACTTCCGAGTCAAGACTGGGAGGACGAAGACGTTCAAGGCGAAGCCTAGGATAACGGGACCTTGTTCGAGGTCACGGCATACTTTTCCTCCATGCGCGTGTGCATGTGCGTGAGTAACGTACGTTCGCCTGGTACAGCTCTGACTTTTTCGTCGACTCATCGTGAGCGCGTCAATCGAGTTCAATGCACTCTGCACATAAGAAATGATATTAAAGAAAGCAGAAATAAAAAGCCTCCTTTGAAAAAGTTATTTCAGAAATCGAAGAAGATCTTTTTAAGATTCTCTTCAAAGTAGCTAGAAAAAGTTTTCTTTTTTTTTATTTCTCTTTTTCTAATAAAACAAGTCTTGATTTTTGACAAAACAATTTTTTTTGACGAAACAATTTTAAATACACATACAAAATTTAAGAGAGCAATTGTGGTATATAAAATACATCGGAATGTTAAGTGCGTTGAAAGAAATTCCTGAGGATTTCGTAAAAGTGTTTACTTAGTGCTAAAATAAAGGACATTTAAATTTTAATGATAACTTCGAAAATTTTTTCTTTGTAATTTTAAATTTCTTACAAAAACATTGAATTTATTACACATTATCATGTACACAGTAAACAAATATATCTACAATAATATTAAAAAATAAAAGCAAATATGAAAATTAATATAATATTATAAAATAATTAGTTAAATATATAAAAGAATGTGAACAAAAAAATATAACAAAATTTTTAATCTTGATGTTACATTTATTTTACTATGTATAATGTAATAATACATGTTCTATACAAGAAGCAGCTATATATATTTACAAATAAATATTTGGAGTTCGACGCTGCTTGTCAGTTTTCGAAGATAGGAACTCTTGAAATTCAGTCTATTCGTTGCATTGCATTGAGTTAGAACAGCGTTCATATACTCCATAAAAATATATCTAAAAGTCTTAAAATTTTCATGTAATATCGCTATTCGTTTGTTACTATTCGTATCTTACTTATTCATATTTTGTATATGTATTTTGTATATTTATAATACTAAGCTCTCACATTTGTACATTTGATCTCTCATATTTTGTCCGCTTACATACAAAAAAATTTTATCTAGAATATTTACAAAAAATGCTTAAATAATTTAATAATAGATAGACTAATAATATTCGCGATTATATCTTACAATATACCTATACATTTATATTTGCGTACCTTTAGTTCAATATTGTCATAAGAGGAAATTGATAAAGTATTGTATAATTAATATATATATATGTGTCATGTCTCAATGACGATGTACTCAAATAAATTTCGCCGTAACATTTTTCTTTTGTATAAAGTTGTATCGAAGAAGACATATCGTATGTATAAATTACTTTTTACTTACTACATCTTAACTATCATTATTTGCCTATCTATGAAATTTACAATTGATTTTATTTTATAAGTAAATAATTAACCTAAAAATTAAATTAGATTATATTTATATCTCGGCCATAATTTTAAAGTAAATAATTTAAAAAAAAAATCTTTATCATCCAATTTTTTTGATACAATATGGAGAATGTGCATTGGAAAACGTCAAAATAATTCGTTTATCATTGTGAGAATTGCAAGATATCTATCGATTCCCTCTTTATCTTGCACGCTGTTAAAAGATCATACTACATAATAGCAAATTGAAGTCCCTGAGATTTTCTTCTCAACAAGAGTTAAGCGAGAAAAGTTTTGTCAAGTTTTTTTAGAAAAGTATGAGAGGTTTTTAAATCATATTTGCATTCGCATTCTGCGTGTTCGCATTTGCATCTGTCTCTTTTACATCTTCGTCGATGCTCGTGTCAAATAACTTGCTTTTCAAATTCGTTAAAGAGTGACTACAATTAGGACATAAAAATGGCATATCAAGCTTCACTTCTTTCATCTGCAATTCCGTATAATTTTGTGCCTTCGTGAGTTTTTCTATTCCCGTTAAGCATTCATCTAATCTCTTAATCTGTTTTTTCTTCATTCTTCGATACTTTCCATATTTATAGCCCAAAAAACAATAACCAAGTATTGTTGTTATTGAAAACGATATTATCATGACATTAACATCCACTTTGTTAAAAACTATAACATCTTGTGGACAATTTTGCACGTAAGACTGTTTATCATTTGATTTTTTGGGGCTCTCGTAAATTTTAGTATCAACCACGATCGGATAACTACCAGGGCCGTTGTTGGTGGCAATTCTGACCAAATATTTACCACGTGGCAGAGAAATCTGTGCTGATTCGCTGTCCGTTACCTATAAAAGTAAAATTAAGTTTTATATATTCACAAATTCGAGTTAATTTAAACGTCTAATCTTTATTTAATAAGTTTTGAATATTAATTATAAAAAGTGTAGTTTTATTTATTACTTTACTGTATAAAATATTTGATTTAATGAATAATTTTTAATTCAAAATGTATACTTTGGTTTATTAATATTTGATAATTTAATTTATTTTTTAGGAAAAAACTTTTTTCTTTTATAAATAACATTTTAATATTTAAATAATATTTGACTGCTATTCTAATTTTGCTTTTTTTTATTTAAAATTTTAATAAAATTGCAGCATTTTTTTATTTTCAAAATATCATCTAGAAGAATGTGAAAATTTTAAATTAACGAAAATAAAAAGCCTAAAGGAAAGATCATTGTCATACAATAAAATATTCAAAAATGATATTCAATTTTATTTGATAATACTTTTATTTTCTAAGTAATTGTAATCAATTTGAATTCATTTTCATTCACTGCTTTTATCTGCATTTGTGTTATGTTTAATTACCTGATTGCCCATAATACCGTCTCCCGTCTCCTGCTGCCAAGTAACGACAAAAGACGGTTTAGATTGTTTTTCCTTTGTCATCCGGCGTTTTAAAACGGTTTTGAAATAATTCGAGGTCACCTTTTCGCATTGATTTTTTAATTGAGTCCGCCAGTCCTGCCACGTGATATGAGCCTGATAGAGGGGACCACCGGTTTTGAGCGATTCCAGTTTTGGTCGCCACTTTTCCCAACTATAATAACGATGATGACGATTTTATCAATAACAAAGGATTAAAAGAAAGTTAGTTATAAATTAAAAAAAGTTAAATAAAAGAAAGAAAATTCAATATTTGCGCAATGTGGACTCAAATATTATAACTAAAATAATAATAACAAATCTTTTAAATCTAGAAAACAATTTTTAAAAAATATTTCGTTTTTCAAATAAAATATTTGCACTTTTCAAAAAAAATTAATATTATTACAAACAACAAAGATATTTGTAATAGTCACAACTATATATTGTTTCTCTTTTTATATTATTTATTGTCAAACTTAAAGAATTTTACATTATTTCGATATTTCTAAACATTTTTCAAATATAAAACTATGTTTCAAATATAAAATTTATCTTCTTTGGATTTTTGTTTTTCTTTTTCTTGCAATTTTCTCGACATTTTTTTTATGGGGATATTGGTACAAAAATTATAACAAAATACCTGTACTGTTTGACTACGCCATCATCTGCGACAATGATAACCCAACCGCCCGGTATCATTTCAAACTGCTGTTTTACATAATAATAATGTTTCTTTTCCCATATTCCCTGCAAATTTTTCTGCATTAACACGGCAATGTCGTACTCGTTCATGTCGATAATTCCATTTTCTTCAGGTGCCGGTAACTTGGTTGGATCATACTTTTCCTCTTCTGTGTTGTTTTCACGTGTTATGTAAAATTTATACGCGGTTTCGCAACCTTGATCCTGAACAAAAAAATAATATATAAATTATATTTATAGATGATTACATATGGAGAAAGTAGATATGGTGCATTTTTTTTACGTATCATAAAAAATGTACCATAAAAAATGTAAAATGTATTTATTTTATATATTAATAAATTATCGGATAATTTTCAGATTCTTTTAAAAATATATTGAACATAATTAAATTTTTTTCTAATAACTATTTTTTGTAATAAAGTAACTTTTAACAAACTTCAAATTTTTAACAAATTAAAATTTAGAAAGATAATAAAAAATAAACTATTTCTAACAATAACTATTTGAAAAAGAATTTTTTGTACTAACTATACTATTTTTTTGTACTAACTAAACTAAATACATAATACTAATACTAACTAACTATTATAACAGTCTACGCCATTGAATTTTCCTGATAAATAGACAGGTAACTGTTTGTATGGATTTTCTTCTTTAAACTTTATCTTTATTGTATAAGATCCTTTTTTTCCTATAGAATTGAAAATTTCTCAAACGACAATCAAGATTTTCTTCGTGCTTGGATGACTAGCACTTTCGCCTTGAGGCGTAATGAAGGTCTAGAAAGATCAATCTAGGATACCTGCACGCTTGAAAAAGGTTCAGAAACTCGAAACCATGATCGAAAACGACGATCCAAAGCAACGAGTAAATCCGCTTCGAAGAGATTTACAAAGAAGATAGTCGCAACACAAATTAAGAGATCTTTCAAATTCCGCTTTGATTATTTATTATGATATTTTAAGGCAGTATAATAAATATTATATAGCAATAATAAAAAAATATTATAATAAAAAATAAAAACAATTGTATAACTGAATAATATAACTGAAAGAAAGAGAGTAACTAAAATAAATAAATAATGTAGACGAAATATAATACTTGTGTAGAAATAAATATTAAAAATAAAATCTATTACATGAAAAAACTAAGTACTATATAATAAGTAAATTTATATAATATTATATATATACTAACGATATTGTGAGATATTTTATCTCGATTATGTAAAATCCTTACATATTTTATCTAAATTAAGATAAAGTTAAACATTAATTAGAATTGAATATTGAATATACACACTTGCGTGCATGCATACACACACACACACACACACACACACACACACACACACTACACACACACACACACACACATATAT